AGGGGTCATTGTCATTGTCTGAATTATCCTCAGATAATTATCCTCAGAATTGCTAGAACTTCACCAAATGTCCCCATGCCAGTCCTCAGGGGATACTATCAGTTTATTTGTACCACATCAGGAGGACGAGGAGCCCRTAAAAGCATCATTTCTACCTTTTCCTCCAACTTTTGCCTCTTTTCTTGTTCTTCCTGTAATTGCTTTTGTAATTCCCGGATGTTTAAGGATAACAGCAATTCAGTGTTTTTCTTCCTTTCTGTTTCTTCTCTAAGATCCTGTTCTGTTTTATTCCTCTCTGTACGCTCTTGATTTGCAGCTTCCAGACAAGATCCAAACATCTTACAAATTATACCTTTTCCTTTAGCATCCTTTAAGGAATCTCTAGCCAACTTTAAATGTTCCTCCACAGCTTCCCAATCATATCATGTCAGTTATCACGAGCTCACTCCTCTGAAAAGCTGAGATTCAGCTTCACTCCATGCCTCTGTAAATAATTAGTGATACTACTTGCCATCCTGTAAAATATGCCAATTTTGCCATGGAATGAGTGGTAGGGGGGAGAGTGACACAAYGCTCTTCGCTCGTGTGAAAAAAAATAATTCTAGGCTTTGTTGATATGGACAATGGTCTCATGACATTCTATGGCAAGGTCGCTTATTATTTACTGCATGGAGGTTCAAGATAATAATAATAAAAAATTATCAAGTACATCCTCCCACTGARTCACAAGGTTCAGATTGGACCCCCTTGCTTTCCAAGCTCTTTCTGAGAGGAGTCTGGGTGTGGCTGGATCCAATCCTAGTCCCAGACCTGGTCAATGGTTTATGACCAATGGATTTTGTGCACAGTTACCAAGTAAAGTTTACAAGTTCAGAAAGGGAGTGTGCGCTATAGTCACTTACCACGAATCTATTGTGGAAAGGGATCTCTTAACCCCGAGGAGTATCCTTGAGAAGCGTCCCTGCTCAAGGGGAGATCCTGGTGTGCCGTCCACTGCCATGCAAGGAGCACTCAATGGGTTCTTGGTCTGTCCCCATATTTATGGGATAGAGGATTGACTTACAGTCATTCTTTCATTTCAGAGGACTTTGGCTGGCGTATGCACCATTAGCTATATCTCTCTATCAGCATGAAACCATCAGGACTGTTACTGCTGGTTAATGTCTGRGTGGGGGAAGAAATCAGGGAGGCAACTACCAGGACCAGATAATGTCACTGACAGTTAACACCTGAACAGGGCTATGTGTGAAGTCACATTAAGCTGGGAAAGGAGCATATCTGTCACAAAGGCCTTAACTAACACGTTTGTCCTGAGGCKTGAGGCATAGCTGGGATAGTGACAGAAGGGAAAGGTGGTTTTAATCTCTGCAGAAAAAAYGCAGAGCACCTCATCAACAGCATCACAGCACTCTCCTCCCTACCCTTTCCACGAGCCTCATCACCACTCCCCTGAGCACGTCACAAGGCCTAAGTGATGCTGCTCATCGATCCCATGCGTGCATCACAAGTGATCTCACGGTGCAGAGTGTAACATTGACATCTTTTCCTGTAGTTCCCCCTGATGTGACTTTCCTCTCTCAACCACACACATCTTCACTGCAACTCCCCTTGCCCTTCCTCTGTCTCGTACTGACCAAAGGCCTTCCAGCTATGCCAGGGAGACAACTGCAAGCCTTGGTGCCCTGAACTTACACATTTCTCTTAAGGCTTAAGGCACAGTTGGGACATAGTGACAGAATGGAAAGATTTGAGGTGGTAGCTGAGTCTTCCTTTTGCATTTTGTCATCTCCTTTGAGATAGAGCTTTGAATTGTGCCCTACAGCGTATGTTTAGAGTGCTACTGTGGGCCTAGCAGAGGCGAGCATCTCAAGGGACACAAGAAATACCACAGATTAGCTTCAGATAGAAGAGAAGAGTTGGGAGAGAGGGTGGAGATGGAGCCTTGAGTACAGTGCTGTGGCTCTCACCTTTAGGAAGCGAGGAGACGAAGGAGGCAAGGCCAAAGTCACATGCTTTTGTGTGGTCTCCACGGGCCTCTGTGCACACCCGGTCTTGAGGGCACTACAGGCACTTGTGTGGCCTCCCCCCAGCCTCCCCGCTCATGTGGCCCTGGGGCCCTCTGGACTTTCATGCGGCCTCCCTGGGCCTCTGGGGCACGTGGCCCTGGGAGATCTCCGGCCTTTCATGTAGCCTCCCCATCCCTCTGTGCGCATGTGGCCCAGGACAACCATTCTGTGGGTCGTCTCCACGGGCCTCTGTGGACACATTGCCCCAGGAGCACTCTGGCCTTTCTGTGCAGCCTCCCCGGGTCTCCGTGTGCACAGGCCCCAGGGGTCCTTTAGGCTTTCATGCGGCCTCCCTGGGCATCTGTGTGTACGTAGACCTGAGGGATCTAAGGGCTTTCATGTGACCTCCCTGCACACGTGGCCCCATTGACCCTCGAGGCTTTCATCCGTGTGCACGCGGCCTCTGTAACCCTCTGGCATTTCGTGAGCCTCTCTGGGCCTCAGTGTGAAAAGGGGCAATCCGGGTTTTCACATAGCCTCCTCAGGCATCCATGGGCCCGGTGTCTCTCTGGGGTCTCATGCAGCTTTTCAGGGGCCTCTGTGCACATGTGGCCCTGGGGGCACTCTGGGCTTTCACGCAGCCTCCCCCAGCCTCTGTGTGCACACAGCCCTGGGGTCCCTCGATGCTTTCTTGTGGCCTCTCCAGGCCTCCATGGGCACGCGGCCTCAGGTGGCCTCCAGGCTTTTCGAGCGGCCTACCCGGCCTTCCGTGCACACGTGGCCCTGGGATTCCTCTGCACTTTCATGTGGGCTCCCCAGCCCTCCATGGGCACGTGGCCCCGGGGTCCTCCGGGCTTTTGTGCAGCTTCCCTGGGCCTCTGTGGGCACGTGACCCGGGAGCCTTCCGGCTTTTTGTGTGGGCTCCCTGGCCCTCCGTGCGCAGTAGCCTTGCCCCAGCAAGGCTGCGGGAGGCTGCAGAAAGGAGCAGCGCCCACCTCTCACACCCCCCTTTTCCAAAGCATCAATTTCTCCCTATATGTTACAGCTACAGACTATTGTGAGACACCACAAAACCCATCAAGAGAGTACAAAGAAAATGAAAGGCTGACTGCACTGCTGTCAGTTGAGAGGTGGGCTGCTCGGTGCTGAATGCTCCCGTCAACTGAGAGTCTGCAACACCTTTCAGCTCACCGAGGTCTGTACCCGGGGCTCTCGGCACATGCCCACGAGCGAGCCGCTCCCCCGATGCCGCGGCRCTTGGGGCAGCTACCAGAGAGCACTCACCGCTGCGTTAATTTTTGTTAGCAGTCACACGCTTCTGATCTGCCCCTGGATGACTAAGGCAAGACAGTTACTAGCCTGCTGCAGTTTGAAATGAAATCCAAGAGATCAGTAAGCCTCCTGCACACAAGGCAGACGCAACCATGAACCACAACACCTTCAGCAGCCAACATGAYGAGTGACACTTCCTCCAAAGGAAAGCTCCCAGGTAACCAGATTCCAGCAACCCATTGCTTAGGCATTTGCTGAAAATTTTCCATTTTAAGCAGCTCCAATGATTTGCAAAAATATCTCCCTGCAAAATTTCCGCAAACTCAGGGTAACACAAGCAATTAGCTTGAGGTAACACACACTATGATATCTCCCTTGGTGATTCTAAGTGTCCAGAAGCTGAACTACTTCACGGCACACGCACAGAAACCCTGTTGCAATCATGTCCAAAACCAAGCACTGCTGTTGTAGTCTGATGCAGTTATTGACATAATACCTTCCTCTTCCACACGTGTTGCTCTCACAGGAATTTACCAGGTAAGTTATTTTTGGAGACCTACAATAAATGACAATAGCTGGTTAATTCAAGCAGTACAGCCTCCCAAATAACATGCATATTTCCAGTTTAACACTATGCCATTGACAGCCACCCCCCGCCTCATCTAAAGAAGTAGGATGACTGCCCACACATCACACCCACTCATCCCTTTCCTCCCTTGGAACACCCAATGCACCCACTTGAAATGACTTTCATCTTAATACCTGTCATCTTGCAGACAGCAGTAATTTGTTAACAAGTAAATGCTAAAGAGTTGTGAAAATTCACATTTGTTCCCTTTATCTCCAGCCGTTCTTCCTCCAGAAGCTTAAAATAAACAAATAATCCAGGCAGTGCTTCCAGAGGGACCGAGGTGGATTTGCACCACCTTCACCAGACTCTCAGAAAGAGCCGCTCACTGCCCACTGAGAAGCACCCATGACCGTTTTGTTAGTCCTCAAGAAAGCTGATTGAGAAAAGTCACATCTGTACCATTTAACTGATTCAAATGTTTTGCCCTGCATCAGATTTCATTAGTTTCAACATACTGTGTCACTGGCCAGCAATTTTTCAATACAGATTGGCTCACCAAAGAGAGTAGAAAAACACAATAAGCAACACAAGTCAATCTTTATTGAAAACTGAAGTATTAATACATAACAATTCTTGTTACAATAAACGTGCTTTTAAGAATTTAAGTCTGAGCTCATCTACTCATTGAATTGCATAAAAAATAAAAAAGTATGAATTTTCACAATTGAACTGGCTCAGAATGGGATCTCCACTCTTTGTGTTGATGCAATAGTTCAATGCAGGAGTGAGTGACGCTTTAAAACTTATTCTGGAAGACAACATTGACCTAAACTTAAAAAAAGTACCAATATAACTGTTTGCAAAACAGTTTTAAAAAAAGTCATAAAAAGGAAACCTGTGTCTATTTCATAACAAACATGAAGAACTATTACTGGGGCCTCTTGTACTTCCATTGCATGCACTCACTTTTTCAAATCTTAGACATGAGGGCAGCCAATAATAGCTTTACAACAAGAAATAATAATAATAATAATAAAAAACCACTAACAAATCCATTCTACTTAAAACAAGTCTGTACAGCAGCCAGCTAAAAAAGCTTTCCCAGTTTGCCTGCTAAGTGCCCAAAAGTCACAACAGTTTAGAAAAAGTCATGTTTGCTTTCTTGATGTTTAATCTCCAGAGCCCATAAATTGTTTATAGAGTATTTTCTATCACAAATGGACCCTTACTACCTGTGGAATTCAGATGTTTTAAGTGTTATAYTCAACACACAAGAGAAAAGGTCTCCATGTCCCCAGGTAAGCACCATTCCTCTTCCTTCTCTTTGCCAAACACATCTCATTTCCTCTCAACCCACCAGCACCGGTGGGTGAACACAGGCTGCTGACAAAGCCCTCGCCAACTCGGAGGTCTCAGAGCAAACTCAGCTCTTCGCAAGGCTCGACAACTAAACACAGCCCTCACACTGCTGCACTCGCTCCTTTTAATTGGCCTTCTACCTCATCAAATCTGAGGGTCTCTACAGGGAGCTTAAGAGTTGGTACAATACAGGATTAGAAAGCTGACACTTCAATGAGAAAAGTCTGAAGGAGCTTAATTCTTTAGGCCTTTCTAGCAGGTGTTGACAAATGTTTCAGCGTGAGGACTAGCAACTGCTTTCGACCCTGTGCAAATGCTGACCTGGGCCAGTGACGCCTGCTGGGGAAGCTGGAGAGGGCTCGTGCCTACTGCCTACGACTACTGCACAAACCACATCCCGGGCAACCGCAAAGTACAACTCAACAACCACAGCATCCGTCCTCTCTTCCCACAAGTTTTGGCTGAAGCATCACTATCGTTCATGTTTCTAAAACGGGAGATTTTGCATACACGGTATTTCCTACTTGCTGGTATCAGTTAAAGCCTAGAGTTAGTGGTGGCATCAGCTCGCTGTGCTTATCTATCCAAGCAAAAAACATGTTCTAGACCCAAATTAATGTTATACAAATACTGTGCCTAAGCACTGGGGAGTGATTCCAAGTCAATTAGGATCTATTTCCTGCTCGTATACTCTAAGTGGCCTATTGCTTGAGTAGAAGCAAAGCCAAAATGCTCACAAAGAGYGGCCAGCGTTAAGTACTCTGGTACGCAAGCCTGCACCATGAACTACGCCCCGGTAACACTAAGACATGGTGGTACTTAAGGTTGTTTTTTCAGTGGATAAAATGATACGAGGAAGGACTTCAACTAAAATAAGGACTCTTTTGTAATCTACCACTGCATCTAAGCGTTTAACTTGCATAGTACTCTCAAAAGAAGCTTTCATGAACAGCATATTCCTGTATGTCTCCTAGAAACTTCAAACTGGAGATGTCTGGTTACAATAAGCATTGGCAAGATATAGTAGTAGGTTCTTTGTTCTCCTCCCTAGCGTTTGATCAATAACCACTACCCCGTTGAGCAGGGCTACGCATTTCTGGTGCTGACTGTTAGTCATTTTTATTCTGCTGCTGCTACGTTTAAAAGACGTTTTCATCAGTTGTTACAGATATAGGGAACACCTCAGTCTTAAAAATATTTTATCTAAATGCAACACTTGAAATTTGAATCAAGGAAAAAAAAAWTCTATCTTGAACTTCTCCTTTTTATTGCTGCAACAGTTATCTTCAGTTCCAGGTTTAAAGTAGTACTTTTTAATCTATCACATAAAGCTGCCATTAAAGTTTTTTTTTTTTCTTTTTTTTTTTTTTCTTCCCCCCCGCCCCAAGAGAGACTTGATCTGAAATGTTTCTACCACACTAGCGCTTTTCATTTTCTGAGGAGCTCTAGTGCAAACACATATTGTGTATTTATTTATAAAGGAATTCTAAATAGGGAATGTTATATAAAAAGCAGGAGAGAATGTTTCATAAGACCCTCACTGTGTAAACGCCTGTTTAATGATGTACAATTTCCCCTGCCAGTTTTATATCCACGCTTTCTACTATTTGCAACAAAATACCATGAAGATAGTTATATATACACACATATTCCCCCCCCCGTCCCCTTGCACTGTGCTTTTGGTTACTTCCCATATCAAATTCCTAGAGACAAGGCTCCTCCCTCCCAGCACATCATCATCAGATCTGGAAGGCATGATGCCTCTGGAAACAGGTAGAGTTTCCCCCTYGCGGATGAATCCCAAAATGCAACTTAGAAAAAAGTGCTCAAGTAAGTGTGAGACTGCCTAAATGGTATGGAACACTATGCAGAGACCAATTCCAAGACAACATCTAGGAATCTGAAGTTGGAGCAAAGATATAGGWGACCATATTTGTTCCTTACCTATGACTCTAACGCAGCATTCATGAAAGTTCTCTCCTATGGATCTCAAAGCTTTTGTTTACTGGGTGACAAGACAGGAGACAGCGAAGCTCAGAGCTTGTTCTTTACAGCTTCCCCTCAATGAAGCACTCTTTCACACCTCAACTCTTTATTAAAATCATACTAAGACAACAAAAGTTTCAACTCTACATTAGCTAAACTGGACAAACAGCCTGTGTTAATGTTCACTGTACTCTCTGGCGCACCTGACTAACCGAAGCTGCAAACCTACTACACAAAAGGAATCAATAAACAGGCTTGAACAAAGCAGTACAGATTCAAATGGTTTGTCTGGGGTCATTTTCTGCTCCATATAAAAACATATGGAAATCCCTAAGCTGCAGTAAGTGCTCATGAGTAAAGTTTAAAGTACTTATTATCAACACCATAGTTACGTTCAAGGCATTAGAAATAAGGGGCAATCCACTGACAATGATCCATGCAAAATAATCCTAAACTTTATTAAACAAAAGAATAACCACACACATGGAAGTAAAAAAAAAAATATGGAGAGTGCTTAAGGTACAAAATAGTTACTGAAGGCTCTAGCCGCCAATGGGTTGTCGGGTACATACGCCTCCCACCGGGGCAGAGTACTGGAATGGCGGCATCAACTCAGCACTGGCGCTACCCTGAGGTAGCTGCCGAATCTGTATGGGAGCAGAACACCCCAAACCAAAGCACAACTAGATAAACGTTAGAAAAAAACAAAACAAAAAACACTTCTGAATGGAAGTTAACCTACAAGAACACTACAGCCTGATATACCTCTGTGTAAATGCCTAAAAGGGAACAATATTTTATAACCTCTTACTGCATATTTATTGCAGGYAGATTGTATCCAAAAGAATGAAATTGCATTTTTTTTTTTCCTGGAATCATAAATCATGCAGGTGTAGGAAAAACCTTGATTTTATGTGCAATAGTCAAATTTAAAAATTTAAAATCTTTCCCATGACGATTTTGGTATACAAATGGGTTCTAAGGCTAGCCCTTTATCCCCACAGCATATGCTTTGAGGTACTCTTAAAAATTGAAGTTGCAAGCAAGAATATCCGAAATGACTCATTGCAATGAAATGCTAATCTGCAGTCAGTCTTTTACGTGCTTCCAAGTGCAATGTAGGAAGTAAAAAAAAAACAAAAACAAACAAAAAAACACCCTAAAGAATACGCGAACACGCTGTAACCGACAAATGGCTCCTACTACAGTTACAAATGTTTTCAGGAAAATTCCCCAACTCTACATTCTGGCAGTCCTACTAGAGCATATCCCTAGCCTATACTGCAAGAAGCTACTAAGGAAATTGTGTGAAAATGGTTTGTTCCCCTTTAACATACTCATCAGGCACACAAGCTTTCCTCAGAATAAGATGCAGCTGAACTCCTCCTGTTTGTGGTGGAAAACCTTACCATTTCTTAGATTTCTGGAAAGCAAGCTGGGTCAACTGCACATACATTTTCAGCTATGAGATTCTTTAGGGAAAATGGCATGGATTTCCTGAACTGAGAACAGGAACAAAAATGTTTTTCTATCAGTCTGTGTGGCAGTCTCACTTTGACACATCTTGCATCACGTGAAAGATCGCACTGGATATGTATCTCCCCAGGACGTACAATTCATTATGCAGGTGATGTTACCTCCTCCTACTCCTCACAGCAAGTATTTGCCTCAAGGAAGGTTGCTTTATTTACTGACACACAGCATTACCTTTGTCATTTCATTTTGATCTCCAAGAACATCTGTATAACACTGAATCCATAAAATGAAAATGATAAGGTAAGGAGAAGAGTAATTGTGTGCAGGATTTCTACAGCTTGTCTGACTCATTTTCCAGTCACTCCAATTTGCGTTAGTTGAATGTGAACAGAATACATCACTTAAATAAAAAGTGCCCCTTCTAAACTGGCAACTCCATCAACCCCAGAAAGGTTGAAGCACTTATCTAATGTATATTATGGTATACTATCAAGAAACTCACTTCCATGATTCTACCTTTTAAGACCCTGCATACATTACAACAGTGCATTAGTGATACAAGTTGTAAAATACTTTTCGGTTCCTTTGGATTTGCATATGATGGTTTTTGCATCAGTCACTGCAGGTAGATTGAGCAAGCTTTGTTTTTGTGTTTTAACATGCATTCACCTAGATATGGATCAGAATAAATTTATACTCCCTTTTTATCATTATAGTTAGCTAAAAAAATTGCAAGACAGTCCACAAAACAGGATTTGCTTTAAGACTAACTGCTGGAGTTCCAAGATGTAAGATATGCAGCACTGGAAAATCTTCAGTGATCAGGAATTAGTAGTGTTTAGCCAAGTGTTGAAAGCATTCAGAAGAAAAGTCCTGGTTGGAGGCATGAGGGCTTCAGCACCAACTTTTAAACCTCAATTTCTTGATTGCATATCTCCCATCTTCAAACCTACATGGGAAGGAGAGAGGGAAGGAGAGGAAAAAAAAAGCAGCACAGGGAAAAAGCTCAATTATGTGGAAAACTATTTGAATGTGGTACTCTAATACAGCATACTCCACGGTGCTAGGTGTACGCAACAGACGTTAAAAAGTGTCATCTAATGCTACTCTAGCCCTCATCTAGGCAAACGGAAATCACTAGTCACTAATTCTACAGGTTGAGGAACAACAGCCTAGGTAGGAACATTACATTGGTTTCCATCCATCATCTTTATTGCATTTTTTTTTTCTGTTGGCACTAGCAATTATAACTTAGTAGAAGCTGTAGTGCTGAAAAGGTGTTTTAAGTCCAATTACCAGCAGTCAAGAACTGAACCATGGCATAATTTTCATTTTTTATACTCATGCAATACTGCATTTTGGATGAAATGAGCTCTGTATGTGAAACATTTCATATCTGCAACCTGATATGCAGCATTGCAGCAAAGAAAATGGCGTTACATGACTGGCTCAAGTGGCAAACCACCACTCTAGTCASGGAAACAAAAAATGCAAAGTAAGTTAAAACAAAATTAACTTGACGACAAACTGAATGGACCACAATTGMATGAGTAATGTTGTTTCATCCAGGTATCACTATACTGTTGAATTCAAAGGGTACCTATGAATCCTATGGTACTATACTAAGTTAACCCTGCAGTCCCAGATGGATTTTAATAAGAAACTTGAGACTAAGCCATTTGTATTCCACATGCACTGAAGAACAAAAATCATCGTAATTTTCTGAAGGCAAGAATAGCTGAAGAAATCCTAGCATGCTTCTCTCCTTTGCAGAAGCAGCTATTACTCAAGCAGTATTTGGTGTAACTTACTCAATTAAGATGTTGAAGCACCCCAGTTCACTTACCTTCTGAAAAAAAATCTCCCTGAAAGAACCTGCACTGCTGTTATTTATATGTATAATTTAACTACCTTCATTCAAGCCATTAACTTACACTGCCAGGACGATCACCACTGTGGGGGCACATAACTATAGGTTGGTGTTCCTGGAGCCCGATATGTGGGCATAGTAACTGGATGAGGGGCTACTGGAGTTGGGGAATGAGTCGTCAACAAAGTTCCTAGGACAGAGAGAACATTATTTTAATATGCATTTTCACAAATTGTAGTGAAAATAAAACTATTTTTTAGTTTTATACTAAAGTATACGTATACTAAAGTATACGTATAAAGTATACGACAGTATAAAGTATACTTTAATGTATAGTATACTATAGTTTAGACTATAAAACATGCAAGAATTGATTTTTTCAATTATAGGTTGTTCATCTTCAGATTTAAAAATACCAATATTGTTTTACATCCAGGCCAAACCCTCCTGCAAGTATTTTTGCAAGACAATCTTTTTGATGCTTAGCYCAATGCACACAGAGACACTCATTATTTAAAAAATGGCTTTAACAGAATCACTGCAAGATAAGCACATTATACACTGCAAAATTCTGCCAGAGCAGGCTTTATATAACATTAAAATGGCTGACGGTAAAGACAACTGACTGATGAATTGAATAAAATTAGTTCCTGTCTACACTAGTGCCAATAGGTTTTTATGAACTGGGAGACAACAGAATGAAACAGGCTAACCAGAACTTAAGTTTATTCTAAAGCACTTTTATATAAACAGACGAACACTTGTGAGCAGCTTCCTTCATGAACATGGAAGTATGAAACGGAAATGAACTCTAATACTAGTTCAGTTTGTGATAAATCACATCACTAGATTTGGATTTTGTCAATTAAATTATAAGTCTGACAAGAGACACAAACCAGAATCTGAAAACAAGCTCACGACCCTCTTTTTTTTTTTTTTTTTTTAAACTACTGAATTAAGATCTGGTTGGATATTTCTTTGTTTTTGAGTGAAGTGTGTGGAACATTTCCAAGAAAGTTAATATCTACTGCATAAAAGCATGCCACACTCTCAGCAAACACTCACATGAGGCTAGATCCTGGTTAAACAACATTTTCATCAAACATTTTAACTCAGAGCATGGCATTAGGGAGATGACATCCCTGATCACTGCCTAGTCRGGTCACGGAGGACCTCCAGGCACTGCAAGTAAATCTCAATATAAAAAGAATTCCAGTCAGCGATACAAGAGGAGGCGGAATTGCTTGTTACTACCTTTACCACTGCACTGGAAAGGTATTGAGAAGATGGRAGTCAGACTTGGACACTGATAGAGCAAGAAGCAAAAGGTTACTAAAATACATGACATGCTATACAGATAAAAAGAACAACTGTTTTACCATAAAGGTGGTGTAATATTGGAAAACGCTGCCCAAAAAGGCTGTGGAACCTTCCATCCTTGGGGATAACCAAAGAATCCCTGGACAAGTGAGCAACTCATCTAGCTGGACGTGCTTTGAGAATGGCCTGGAAAAGCCCTTTCTGATCCAAATTCTTTTCATTCTGCCTGGCACATCTCCCACAATATATTTTTATAAAAAACAGGCTATGTTCTGCCTCAAACTGAATGAAGAACTTCAAGAAAACTTAAATCCATAAAGCCCACATACCTGCTGACATTGCCATAGTAGTCCCAGCCACCATCCCCATAGTCACACCATTTCCTCTTGGTGGTGGGATTGGAGCAGGATACATAGTTGCTGGCATGCCGTTAGGCTGCACAACTGTGGTGTGATGAATTACGTGGGGTGGTGCTGCATACAAAGGCTGTGTGTAATAAGTGCCTTGCTGTTAGGAAAGAAAATGATATTTTGTGTATCTGGTGAGGAAAATAAACAGGCTGTATCTTCTTTCATGAAGGTACCATCAAATTAAAGTATTATTCTAAAATGCAATGTATTTACAGAAGAGAAGTTGGAGCACTCAACTATTCTGAGCAGTTCTCTTTCACTGACAAGCTTCTATCATTCAGCCCCCTTTAAAGGCTTCTCATATAACACTCAATAGCAGAGACCTCTGTGGAACTCCACAACAGATTCTGCATCTTCAGCTAAAAGGTACATCCTTCATTTGCTTTTGGTTAGAGAACCAAAGGTTTTGGCAAATCCAAACATACCAAGCAGACTAGCTCAACTTTACAACATGCTTGTTAATTCTCTTCAATTCAAGCCTACATGACAGGCCAAATATCCTCTGAATAAAAGGAGGCTGACTTTTCCCCCAACACCTAGTTTACTGAGGTGTCTCTTAATTTTATTCTACTAGTAATTTTTATCATTTGGCTAGTATGAGACTTGGTATTTCTCTGAACCTTAACAGTGTCATCAGAGTAAGCTTACATCAATTTTTGTCAAAACAAGATCAAGAAACAGTAGTAGCAGAATCCAGAGCTCATTTCTAAAACTACTATTAAAAATCTACTATCTTTTTAAAAAGCAAACACTTTTCAATGAGTATAGAGTCCTGTCAAGACAGGAAATGTCAACGCAGGCAAACAGATTGTACGAAGAACTTTCATGAAGAAATAAAGGTGATATAAGACAGCTGAAGCAGTTATTACACTGAAACCAAAGTGCTATTCCAACAGAAGAAAGGTTTGTGGGATTGGGGATTTACCTGTGCATACGGATTCTGCTGCGGATAGGCACTTCGAACTGGGTACACAGCAGTCTGATAGGGATTTGGCGATGAAGAATACGGTGGCACTGCACCACTGGTGGGTGAACAGGATACTTTATATGGGGTGCCTGGTGTATAACCTGAAACAAAGTTAAGTCTGCATTAAAAATATGAAAAATAAGTGTCAGTACACTACTTAAGAAAACTGTTACCTTAACTTTATTAATTTTCTTGCTTTATATGAATACTTAGTAGGCTACCCTCAAAATCCATACGCAACTTGGACCTTTTATATAATTCTGGTACCAGTTTGTCTGTAACATTTGCCTATAAGATTATACTAAGGCCTGGAGTGGAAACACAAAAGTGTTATCAGCATTACCCACTGGTAAAGAAACTGAGAGCAGCAGAGAAGAGCCCTGACCTATTCTGAGAAAAGGTCAAAGCCTGAGCCTGCACTGGTGCTCYGTGCTGGAAGGATCTCACAGCTCATGCGGACCCTCCGCACTAGTCACAGTGTTCTCAGCAAGTAAACGTCTGCTCCTGCCTCTGCTGACAGATCTCTGAGAAATGGTGCAAAGCAGTCACCATCCGACTCTGGAGCAGCCACCCGTGGCTATTATGGAAGTTAGGTCCAGAACTCCGGCAGTTTTCTCTCCCCAAAAATAAAGAAAATCCATAATGAAAAGAAGCCATCCTTCAAACCCTAGAGCTCGGTGTAATTTTGTACACTGATTTCTCCTAAACTTACTGAACCAGTTGCATCTACTGAATAACAAGGATGGAGGTTTATTTGTATAGTCAAAAAAAAAATAAAAAAAAATCAAGAGAATAGTTTTAGGCATTACTTTAACTCACAGGACATTGGTAACAGCCATCCTTATATGTAAATATATTTAAGAGCTGCAAATTATATGCATTTAATAGTTAGGAAAAAAAGTAGGCTTTAAAAGCATTTGATAAATCTTTCTGATTTTGATAATTTTTGAGTTTGATAAAACTGCGTTTGTTACTTTTCTCAGAAGTTCAGTCGAATGCTAAGAAGAAATCCCACTTAGGCAATGGAAGACATTGACAGCTGCTTTAACAACAAAGCACAGGGACTGTATGGATAATGAATGCATGTTACATAGCCTGCAGAGAAAGAATTAGTTCTAAGAATTAATTTGACATGGTGAAGTATATGTGAGAGGATTCTGTCAGCTTCGAAATCAGTCAAATCTAAAGTTCATATATTTAGAATGTGATAAAACTTCTTTTTAGCTAGAACAGTACTAACTAGTGAAACAATAACACAAGTAGTAAATTAAAAACACTTGGTAATTTTATATATATATGTGTGTGTGTGTGTGTGTGTGTGTGTGTGTGTGTGTATATATATAAAAAAATAAAATAGAGACTACAGGAATAGAGATGAAGTTCACTTTAAAAAACATCTGAGGCTAGAATGTACTGACTTCAATCCTGAGAAGAGATCTGAAACCATACAGCATTTATAACACTGTATTTCTGTGAGAGGGCACATAAAAATCTGTATAGAGAGAGYGATGACAGATCACCTTTACTCTTCTTGCAGGAGTATGCTTTTCAATTTTACTTCACTCGTCATGTAGAAAGTTATCATGCTAACTGAGAAATTGAGTTTACTATGTTGTTTTTAATAACATTTTCAAATCYTCAGACACATCAAAACAGTCCACCATAGCACTAATCCAAACTCTACTGTGCTTYGTACAACTCCTTCAAAAGCTGAAAAATATGCCATGCTGGGGAAATTACTTTTATTCCACTATGAGGAGGTATTCGTGTTGAGGAGAAAAAGCAAAAACAAGCAAGAAAAAGAAAAAAAAAAAAGCCCCAAAACAAAAAACCACCCCCTCCCCTAAATTTTGAAGTGCTGGCCACATTGGCACTGAACTACAAATGGTAGTTGCAGCAAAGCCCTCTCTCATTCTAAAATCCAATCAATATAACTGCATAGGCATTTTAACTTTGATTCTTGTGAAGTGGTACATCTGTATCAGAAGTCTTCTGCCTTCCCGCTTCATTTTTTCCCTCTCTTTCAGTGACAAAAGGTTTTAAAAGTACACCATGTGATTATTCCAACATAGATAAATTTAAGAAAATATTTGTAAAAAGATGCCTGTTCTAAACAGCAATGTCATGGCACATTCAAATACTACTGCGTGATACAACTTTAAAAGATATCTAATTATATCCAGAACTGTGAGTGATGTTAAGACTTCATGACCAACAGGAGTCTCCTGGCAGTTAATAAAAGATCGTACTTCAGAAACACTGAACTTCACAACTGCCAGCAGGCTCCCGTGATGTATTTTCTCAGGATGAAATGCCATCCTTTCACAAAGGTATTCAAGGCCAAATTTGCATATGCATATATATTCTTGGAAAAGCTGGCATAATATACGCAAGTGAAAGATCTGGAAGGTAGTCCAGATGCACACGAACAAGACAATGCAAGGAATTCCTCAGTAGGTAATAATCCCTCAAGGAATGCTTGTCTACCAGATATATTCCTAGTCAAGGAATATATAGTGAAGTGAAAATAAAGAGCTACTGGTTTTTGTTTTGTTTCAAGTATTAGTACATCAATGTCATATTAGTGAAAATGGAATTACATAAAAGCATCTTACATGAGCACATTGGTTTCGCTTAGATCTATTCTTTGACTTTTCTTTTTCTAGGCAGCTCATATTTCCTTTTCCTTACTTAAGAAGCATGTAAACACAATTACCTGTATCATTCCACACAACCCACTACGGGCAAGACAGTTCTGCGCAGCAATTGAGCTTTTCAGATAATCAATTTGAGACTGATTGACAAAAAGAACAAGAAAGCAGGCAGCCAACTGAATTTGGAAAGAGATACAGTCTAGGAAAACAACAAAAGAACGAACTTTCAAGAAACCTGCCAAGCAGACAAATGAAAATTAAAAAAAAAAAAGTCAGAAACCTAGAAATAGCTGGTAGGTTAGAAAGCAAAGTCAAGAAGGAAGCAGTGAAAGAAAGCACAGAGCAAAAGCATTTAAGTTTTAAATGCAGAAACAGCAGCTAGAAGAACGCAACAGAACAAATCTTAAGGCACAGTTATATTCCTCTAAAATTTATCAGATTATTCTTTGACTCATATTCAAAGCACTGCAAAGCTTATCCCACAGTACACATGTTACCTTAAACCCCAGAAGTTCTTCCTAATAATTTCTGGACTTCARGTTATTGCTTAGACACCGACTTTGCACATACCTGCTTGGAAGGTAGGATTTGCTCCAGGATACATATTAGGGGAATAGGCAGGAGCAGCCGCTGCATAGCCCATTGGGAAGCCAGCTAGAAGAAAGAATAGGTCAAAGTTATTTTCCAGATTAATTGCATAGTCTAGCTCAGTTTTATTCCCAAAGATTCTCATCGAACATCTTTTTAGCTGAAATGACCAGTCTTTTTCACAGAAATAACGAAATCTCTAAAAAAAACTCAGTGACTGACTTCCCACATAAGAGATGGCACAAGTATAGGGTACAAAGCACTGCAAGCACCTTGAAATGCCCATTTCATTTAACACAGATTTCTTATTATGCTTCTATATCTGACTAGCTTACCAGTTTCATCCAATGTATTGTGACACTCAACTGTATGTGATTCACAGCAGCAAAACAGTAGATCAAATCTTCTGTACCAGAATAGAAGAAACACTATAGCTAATCTAACACTGTGAAACATTGGTCTCAAATATAGGGTTAAAATATCATTAGCAAGAAAAAAAAAAAAAAAAAAACAAATATACAAAGTTTGTTAGGTTGAAATAACTGAACGTAATCATAGCTTATTTTTTCAGCAACTTGTCCACATTACTCTTTTTACAGTTTGGAGTAACATCTAAGACAACACTACTGCCACATTTTGTTGCCAACATAGAAAGATGTCAACTTCTACACAACATGGAATGACTATTCATTTAACCAGTGTCATATCTATCAAAGCTACTAGGTTTAAAGTGTTATTCAAATTTGAAGCTCTTGTATTTTTCCATAAATCCCCAAGCCCACAGCAATTACTCCTAACAAAATAACTTATTTAGCTCAGGTCTATACACTAACTCCATTTTGTAAAGCAGTCTGTAAACATATGAAGTTACATGCACTTCATATTACTATGTATTAARTTTCACAGTAAAGAAAATTCATTTATGTACCAGATTCTAGGAGAGAAATCAGTAATACGGAAAGAGAAGAAAGTATCCTACCTAATATGAAGCACAAGTTTTAAAATATTTTTATATTTCCATACTGGACATACTTCCAGCAGTCAACTGTTCATCATTTTTGATGAACAAAAATGAGAGGAGAAAGGTTAACAGTGTCAGCCAAATACAGACAGAAATAGATTTGACTCCTTTTCCTGCAGGAGGAAATCATTAGAGCTCCTGAGATAAGATACTTTAGAAGAGCTATTAAAGAACACTCAGAACAATTTATATGATTCTTGAAATCTCACTCAAAAAAAATCACATGTGAAGACATTACTATGTGATCATCTCTTCTTGATTATAATAGAGATTAAGGTAAATGATGTTCACTGAAATCTGATGTTACTTACCTGGATAACCAATTCCTTTGGCATTTGCATAGGGAACCCCAGAAGATCCAGGGCTATACACAGGATTCATGATTTCAGTAACTAAATTAGGGAGAGAGATAAAGAAAATTACTCTAGTATAAGGAATTCCTGAATTCTGAGCAGCAACATGGAACTAGAAATGAAAGAATATAATGCAATTTTACTACTCGTACCAACAACTACAAAACAAGACAGAGTCATTTCAGAATTAAGTTTCAAAGTATCACGAACCTTCAGAGAGAGAATCTCTCAAGTACAAAACATYCTCTGTTGTGAAGTGTATTTTCATAGTTTTTCATCACTAGTGCTTCCATAGGGCACAAATCCACTAGCCCTGYACAGCAGTTCACACTACCTACATTCTTTATCTGCGCGCACCTCCTATCAGTCTGGGTCTCATCCCATTTCTTGCTTTAATCATCTAACCAAGATACACAAATGTTCATATTCRTCTACTACTGGCACTACAAGCCTGAGATTCCAGTCCTTTACCAGCACCATCAGCAGTTCAATTACTACCGAGTTAAATGGAAAAAGACATTCTGTATTAGAAAGCTAATTAAGTAATTTATTGCTGTAAACTTTCCAGGAGCATATGACGAGTTGGCAGCTGGGTCCAGTCATTTCTGAATTATGTATTCAAACCCCAAGAAGGCACCTATAATTAGCAGTGTTGGCAGGAATAAAACTCAACCCCTCGTGCCCAAAGCAAACCTTGTATGTCAACACCAAGGTAAGAAAGAGGGCATTGAAGATGCTTTCTCAAGGTTTCCTAGCTAGTTACAGTTTAGTTATAGATTAGAAATAATTGCATGGCAGTTATAAGCATGAGACGCCAGAGGACTGTTCACAATTACTTTTCTAACAAAACAAACAACCCTCCCTCCTCACCCCCCGCCCCCCCCCCCCACATTTTTAATCCCTCTCGCTTGTGCTTCTGATATTCTGCATRTATTTACAGATCTTCTCACTACAGGTGAGAATTTTTCACTAGAAATAGTCTCTGATGGCAAGACAGGGACACACCATCAAACCAGACTTTCTTATCAACCGCTAGTACCTGGTATTTGAGTTACTTGTCCATCTGTATCTCGATACGCCCAAACTTCCTGAACAAAACACAACGCCATGCAGTTTGCGCTACRGTTTTACAAAGTTTTGTAAATACAAACTTTATGAAGCAAAATAAACTTCATAATTACATTGCACTAGTGCACTAGCTTAATTACTGAATGTGGTGTGACAGCAATCTAAGTTTATCAGTGTATCTGCTTTTCCCACAAGCCTCAGTTAAGTAGGCACATAAAACAAGCAGTTTTTAGCAGTTTGCCTGTTAAAATGAACAGTATTAGGCTCTGTGGCAAGATTTTTAGCAGTATCTAATACGCCACAACAGATTCAAAAGAAACATTTGTACAACACGAGGAATTTAGAAATTAAAACCACACCAACTCAATGTGCAAGAATTACAAGATTCATCAATTTACCGGATTTTTTTAAAACGTAAGTAAAACTACTAAAATAACATAAGCTGAACTGCTCTTAGTTGCAGCATATTGATTACATCACAGAACAATAAAATAAATTAAAACCAAGTTGTCATTACATTGCCTAACATGAAGAAAGTTCCCCAAAGCAGCATTTATTTTATATAACCAAAAGCATATTTTATATACCAGAGCAGCTTTCATTACCTGACCAACATGGAAAAAGCAGTCCAGCACAAATCTCTTTGGAAATATTCTACAACAAATCATTCTTCTTCAAGTGTCCTTCTTTATGAACATTAGAATTTAGATCAYTACATCTGTGCCTTCATCAGTCAACCTATGATGCCATTCTAATATTTCATCTAGTAAGGTTGTTTTTTCTGYTCTCCGTATTTTACATATCCTCCTTTCTAAGCAAGGACTTTCACTTACTTGACCACTTTTAGTCCCTCCTCTTATGACCTTCCCTGAATTCCTTTCTCAGTCCCACCTCTGCCCCTATTTCAAAGCTGACTTTCTGCAGAGGCTTTTGCCTCTAAGCTTACAAAACTCAGGAGAGTTTTCCAATCAAAACTTCAAGGCAGTATTGGCATGTTTAGATTATGAAATTAAAGTCCTACAGGCGATAGCTGCATCTTTCCACTCAAATCTAAAATAGTCTCCCTCACCAACCCTGTATCCTTACAAATATGCGCATGCTCCCCCTCACAGTCTCTGCAGCTCTGTCACCATTTTGAAAGGCAACAAAAAAGGAAGGAAAAGGTGAAGARGAAGGGGGGGGGGRAAGAAAAAAAATCAAGCACACTTGCAAGTTTTCCTAACGTGGACAAAGCCTCAGATCCAACATTAACTAAAAATAATTTATTTCAGATCTTCTGTGAAGGACCTGATATGTGCAAGTATAATTACACAGCATTACCCAGTAGTTGCAATCATCCCACTCCTACCATAATTTTACTTTGAAGGGTTTCTGTTCTACTGAAATATGGAACCTTGCAGTCCACTCTTCTGTGATGCTTGAAGTCCACATCAAACACTGGGGAACTAGTACAAACTGAACCCAAGGGAACATGGTTTTCAACCTTTTCAGTGGCACCCACTCCAAAGCATTCTCATGTTAATGGTATGTAAATAAATGTCTACTGTGCATCATCTGTATATAAATTGCACATAGCCAACTGCATATAAATTACACAAAATCTGCTAAATAAGTCTTTCAGCTGAATTGCAGGTAACCCTACTTACTGCAGATGTTCTGGTTAGAGACCACTGAAGAACACTTGGATAGGGTAAATGGTTCATATTCCATGTTTGCTAGGGCCAAGCTTTTATTTTCTAAAATAATTTTACACAAATACATAGAAAAAAATTAAAACAACTATATACAGCACTTAACCGCACATTTCTTTGTAAGAGGTGTATTTTCTCACTACTTATTTTCAAAGTTGCATGGAAAAAACTGAGAACAAGACCTACTGAATGCTACTTTGTGGTTATTTATTACAGAATTCTATCACAAGAGTTGGGGAAGAATACCCTCCCCAATAAATATTTTGCCAAAATCAGACATTTTCATTCTTCAAGCTGAAAAGATTCATTCTAAAACATCTTGGAACAGTTTTGGAAGGCTATCTATTTGCTAAGAGACTGTATAAAAGACTCACTTGTCACTTAAATACAATTCTTTAACAGGCACAAATTTAATTATCATCCTAATGTTTTGCATTTTGCCCATTTGCTTTACAGTCAAAGCTTAAAGAAGTAAAATGCAACACCTAAAACCCCAGTAGCTTATAAACTAAAAACAGTCAGTACCACTGCTGAATAAAGACATAGTTCAAGATACTTCTGCTCTCAAGTAACTGACACTGATTAAAGATTCAATTGCATGAGGATTCTGTCAAGACTTCAGCCTCTCAAGTATAGCGCTTTGATGCCAATCCTGGGCTACAGAACACGCACTTTTGGACAATTACCTTAAAAGGGCTCATCCTGGCCAAATCCACGACTTTCTGAAGTCTGTAACTACACTTCCCACACCACATTCAATGCGGGGAACTTCCTTCACTCCATTCTTCCAAAACCACAGCACAGGTCACTGATTTTCACCAGGGGCTAAATCAACACCCCTCAGCTCATAACAGAGCATGGGTTTGACTCAAGCCCACTCAAGTCAATGCTTACACAGGCCTGCCATACTTTCCCCTTGCACCAACCCCATTCCCTGCTTCGAGCCAGCTCTGCCACTCCGAACCCTTGAAATAAGCCAGGCCAGCTAAGCAGGTTGACAGAATTTTGCTGTTTGTTAGGATTTATTGGGGGGAGACAGACAGAGATGCTAAGTCTTCTTCCCTCCCCCTCTCCCTYTACCAACTCAGAACTGAACCGAGTTTCCAACCAGTTCCAAGTGGTGACAGTGCAGAATTAGGTTGTGGAACCACAGTCTGGAAAAGGATGATGAATAACTTTGCTCAAGTTCATACATAACGTCAGAGACGGAGCTGGAAAAGTCATCCGTGTGCAAGTTTTCCTCCCCACTCTCATTCCAAGATGTTCTTTCCATGAATGAGAAACACCTGCAATCCCTTTTGTGGTTGCCTTCATGTGCATGGTCTTTTGAAAGACTTACAARGGAACAGAGCTGTTAAGCGACCTTTAACCATCTTCAATCAATAAAATTCTCATTTATAAGTATTCTGTTAGTAGTTTTAGATTTTAAAACTAAGAGAATCAAAAAAAAAAAAAAGTTACATTAAGACCAAGGCTATTTGTGCCCAGTATTGGTCAAGGCACACACAATATGATTACACATTTAAATAACTAGAGAATTAATTCTATGTGTTTTCTTTCTCCCCAGTGGTATGGGCTTAAAGTTGTTAGCTCCAATTTGTGTATGTTGAGATCTGGTACGTAATTATTTTTATTTCAGAAGAGTTAYTATTGCAAAATTAACAGTTCCTCAAAGTACGAGTCTTACAAAAAGGCCATGTAATACCAACTCTGATCAAGTACATCAGCTAAGAGAAGCAGAACAAAGCAGAACCAGAACAAAGTTCTGCCGCACAACGGAGTCATAGCCCCAACATTTAAGTTAAATCTGCATACTCTGTTTCTTGGTAAACTATAAATCTGCATACTCTGTTTCTTGGTAAACTATAAATCTGCATACTCTGTTTCTTGGTAAACCATCTTTCTGCTAAGCAGTTTCATTCAGTTCATTCTGAGCTTACACCACACTCCTCTCGGAGAGCTGCGGAAACTGTTACAAGTTCTCAAGAGCGGCAGAACCCCCAAAAAGCGTTTTGCCCCCAGCTCAGTTCCGTGCCGGGCGAGCTGAAGCAAACGATCGCTACCACGAAGGGCACGGCTCGGGAGGCACGCGTTACGCGCACACTGGTATTTTAGGACACTTYGGGACAACCACACGTGCCGCAGTGGAAGCGGCCGCGCAGACGGAAAGCCCGGTGCAGCGAGGGAACGTGGCCACGTTCAGCGCGGCTCCTCTGCCGCTGGAAGGGACACAGCCGCACGCCTGGCTGTGCGGGCCCTCGGGCCTCGCGTGTCA